AAAAAAAAAAAAAAAAAAAAAAAAAAAAAAAAAAAGAAAACAAAAAAAAAACCAAAGGCTGAAATTGCTTTATTAGACTTTCAAACAGCAAATTTATAAACCTCTGGGCTGAGGCCAAGCAAGGGAGATTTGTACCCAAAGGAGAATTCTTCCAAAAGCAAAGAAAGAAAATAGCAAGGCTCAAGTTTAACCCTCGCAGGATATTTCGCCTCTAGCCCAAGAATTGGTGGAAGTTCTCTGTTTCCAGATAAGCTTTTCTGGGCCGACTGATGATTTTGCTCAAGTTGTTTTTCATTATTATTTATTTTCATTATATGTTGTTGCATTGCCTTCCTCCAAGCCCCTCAGCTCTCCATGTCCTCCCCACAGGGCTGTGCCAGCCAAGGGCTGAGCTGCCCTTACCAGAACAGATCCTGGATGCTCTGAGTGGGACTGGATTCTTCAGGCCATGTTTTGAGTTTTACCAGTTGTTAAAAAACTTCTCAAAGCTTTTCAAGTTTCAGATTAATGTTTTCCAAGAATGGGTTCTGCTCAATTCAAAAAATATGAAAAGGAAGATGACTCATTCAAATGGTGAATATGGAAAAATGCATTTTTCCAAAGTGTACATTTTTTAGAGTCTGAGTTAAAGTGGTTCTGTCACTGAAAGGATTTTGAGGTGAGGAGTAAAAAATTAGTAGAGGAATAACCATCCCTGAGGACAAATGGTGTTCCTGAGCTGTAGAAAGTTGGGGTTCATTTGTTTATTTGCTACTGAAAATGTCAGATGATTTTGGGGAGGTCCTTTGCCCTCTGCTCTGCATCCCAATATCCATTTTTCCCTGTGCACATTTCCCAGTCTGCAGCAGATACTCATATGAGATGCAGAAAGTTTCTTGGGACAGAGGAGTTAACTGGCCCATTTTCCAGCTTCCCTGCCCACCTCCCTATTAGCAGATACTCATATGAGATGCAGAAAGTTTCTTGGGACAGAGGAGTTAACTGGCCCATTTTCCAGCTTCCCTGCCCACCTCCCTATTCTTACTGACTTTTTCAACTTTCTCAGAAATTTGTCTTTTGTTTCACAACTGGAATTACTTGGTCTGACGTCAAAGGTGATATAGAGTGGGCTGTAAGGGGATTTTTTAGTTGGCAATTTTTAAATTCATGAATACTTTATGACTAAGAGTGACAACATTTCTTGACACAGTTCAGAAATGGCTGTTCCTTAGATTTTGTCTGTCTGATTCTTGTTAAATTTGACTAAAGTACTTTTTAAAGCTATTTAAATAGTGCATATCATTTATGATTTCTTTATGCCATTGCTTGTGAACACCAGGACAGCATTTTGCATAAATCTGTTTTGCCATAGCTGCTTTTCCTTGAATGATGGGTGGGAATTCAAACAAGTCGCAACTGTGGAAAAATCCTGGGCTTTGCTGTCAAGGTTCTGCATCTGATACTGAGGGTTTCTGATATGACCCCTGAGTTTATGAAGTTGTGCCAAATTAATACCGTTGCCTAGAGGAATGATCTAATCAGGCAGGTTAATCAAGTAGAAATGTACAAATTCACAAACCCACAATCATTTGTTTTTATTATTTTTAAGAAAAAATGAAATTAAATGCAAACAGTGCTCATTACTTAAGGTTGAAAATTTTAAATTCAAAAATGCTGTGCCATTCTGCAGCTGTGGTTTCCAGCGCAGTGCAAACATCATTCCAACAGACATATGGAATATTTTGCAAAACAGTTATGTTATTAGATAATGTGACATACAGTGTATGTAATTTAGGATGAATATGAAAATCTTCCAAGCTGGCTTGGAAATCCTAATCGTGTATGATACTTGACTTGTAACTTTGGGGTTTGTTTTCCAGCTTGCAGCTTTGCCTGTTGCATTCATTTAGGGCTTGAACATGATCTCTGCTGTGTGCTTCTTGCAGTCCCCCACACGACAGTGGAGGGAGCTTTTCAGTAAGAGCCGGATAGAATCACCCTGGGGGAATTCTTGTGGCCCATCTCTGGTGGAGGTTTTGCCATCACCGCCTTTGGAGGGCAGGAATGGTGGTGGAGCCGGCTGTGCCAAATCCCACGGGAGCTGAGCCGGGTGCGCTGTTCACTGCTGGCTTTCCTGGGTTCACAGCACTTGCCGGTTAAAACGTGTCCAGAGGAGGCCACGGAGCTGCTCCAGGGCTGGAGCCCTCTGCTCTGGAGCCAGGCTGGGAGCTGGGGGTGCTCACCTGGAGAGGAGAAGCTCCAGGGAGAGCTCAGAGCCCTTCCAAGGCCTGAAGGGGCTCCAGGAGAGCTGGAGAGGGACTGGGGACAGGGGATGGAGGGACAGGACACAGGGAATGGCTCCCAGTGCCAGAGGGCAGGGATGGATGGGATGTTGGGAATTGGGAATTGTTCCCTGGGAGGGTGGGCAGCCCTGGCACAGGGTGCCCAGAGCAGCTGTGGCTGCCCCTGGATCCCTGGCAGTGCCCAAGGCCAGGCTGGACAGGGCTGGAGCAGCCTGGGACAGTGGGAGGTGTCCCTGCCCATGGCAGGGGGTGGAACGAGATGGGCTTTACTGTCCCTTCCAGCCCAGACTATTACATGACCATGGGCAGCTGCGCTTTAACCACGAGCCCTCGTGGGCCATGTCCGCCCTCGCAGTCCCAGTAAAGCCCTCGGGGCTCGCTCCGTCCCGCGGGGGGCCGGGCAGAGCGGCGGAGAGGAGAGCGAGGGAGCGAGCGGGGCGGCGGGGGCAGCGCGGCCGGCGGATCTAAGCGCGGCTCTTTTCTCTTTGCAGACACCGAAGCTGCCTCAGGGGAAGGAGCCTCACAAGGCAGTAAGTACAGCGGGGCGCGAGGGGCCGGCCGTGCCGTGCCGGGCCGTGCCGGGCCGGGCGAGGCTCCCCCTCCCTGAGGGTCCCGCGGGCCGGGGCTGCGGCGGGGCCGTACCGCGGGCGGCCGGCAGGGGGCGGCCCCGCCGCGGAGATGGCGGCGGCGTGAGGCGGCGGGGCACCGCGGGCGGGCACGGCTCGGGGTCTCGGGGCACGGCTCGGGGTCTCGGGGCACGGCGGGGCCGCCCCTCACGGCTCGGGGTCTCGGGGCACGGCTCGGGGTCTCGGGGCACGGCTCGGCCGCCCCTCACGGCCGGGGGTCTCGGGGCACGGCTCGGCCGCCCCTCACGGCCCAGCAGCTCGGACGCTGTCGCTGTCCCCCCGCGAGGGGGGCGCGGTGCCCCGCGGCTGCCCGCTGAGCGCTGTGAGGGACCGTGAGCGGAGCCGCCCTGCCTCCTGTGCCGGGAGGGGCAGGGCACTGCCAGCCTCTAGCGGCTGTGAGACACCAGCCCTGGATGATTTCTAAAGCCTAAACCTGCAGTCTGGGGTGTGTGCCCCAGCCCCGGGAGGGAGAGCCGGAGCCGGCCCAGGGCCGGGGCAGCGGAGGGAGCTGGGGACAGACTCATGGCCCTGTGAGGGTGGGAGGGTGGGGCCAGGCAGTCCCCGGTGGCAGAACTGAGAGATAATGGGCATGAAGTGGAGAGAAGAGAGGTGGAGGCTGTGTTGAATGAAAAGCGCTCCCTCGTGCTGTGGAGCAGGCTGTCCAGAGAGCTGTGTCCTGCATCCTTGGGGATTTACCAGACCAGCCTGGGTAAAGTCCCAGGTAACCAGGACTGAGCTTGGATCCGACTCAGCTTTGAGCAGGAGGTTAGACCAGAGATCTCCTGAGGCCTTTGCCCACCTGGGTTTTGCTATGTGTTAGGTGATAGCCATGATTCCCCACTGGAAAGGTAAGTTCCAAACATTGGTGGTTGCAGACACCAGCTTGGAAGCACCAAACTTACCCTGGGTGGGTATAGGAATGTTAGACAAATAGTAAAGAAAAATAAAAAGTAAAACTAGACCACCTTTTCTGAGTTATTTCTTCACCATATTCTGTGATAGGTGAACAATTGGCATTAGCATAGGGGGGGTCTTGGCTTTCTATCTCCAAAAGGAAGCAGGACTGACTTCACTGCAGGTGGAGAATGGAGATCCTCAGCCCTGAGCTGAAACATCTGAGTAGCAAGCAGCCATCCCACATTAGTGTGTACACACAGTGTATTGCTCACAGGGGAAGCTGGGCTCTGCAGCTGAGCCTTTCCCTTGACAGAGTCCAGCTCTTTGCAGGGCATGGAAACTCTTTCCCAGGCTCCTGTCACCTCCTTTGGTGTCTCTCCTTCAGTCATTGCTCAGCTACCTGTTGGTGTTTTACATACTTTAAGGCTTTCCAGGCTCATCTCCTGGCTCCCTTGCTCTGCATTTTGCTGGCAGGCACTGCTATGTTCTGGGCTAGGCTGTGTGCACCCTGGGTTTGCTGTTTGGATATTGGGTACTTTTGCCAGAGCTTGGGAACCACTTTGTGCAAAGAGATTTTTTTTTCCCTTGTAAGTCAGCTTCTCCCCTTCCCACCTGTTGTGGGAACTTTTCTGGCTGGAAAAGATAGGGCAGAGTGAGGTGTGAAGACAGAAAAAGACATGAGGGCTTACACTGTTGCTGTGTGGGCAGACTCAATGTTGTTGGAGCTATAGAAAGATTTCTGTGGATGTAAATGCCTCTTCTGTGATGTCTGGGTTGTGGGGACAGGGGGAGAATGGAAGATCATGGGCAGAGGTCTGGGAGAGAACAGCCAGAAGCAGCTGCTCCCTACACCTGGCTCCTGAGGAGTTGCTGTGGTGGCACTGGAGATGGAGCAGTAGGAGGGACGGGAAATACTTCCATCTTCATGCAGGGTCCAGCCCCATCCTCTGTGCAGGAATTACTTTTTACCTGCCACGCTCATATTTCAAAACAGTCTCATCTAGCTGAAAGAGATGGAGGCAAAACCAAGCCACCAGAATTGGGAGATGGTGAATGGTGGGGTAGGGAAAGGATCCACCATGGCCGTGCCCTGCTGGAGGGACAGCCTGGACATGTCACCTGTCCTGCAGAGGGATGTGAGACTGCTGAGCCAGTGCTGCTCTGCCTAAGTGCACATGGTTGTAATTTCCTGACACAGTTATCTTCCTTGTGCTGTAGTGAAACAACTCAGCTCTCTTCTTTCTTCCCTGTGCCTTCCCCTCTGAGGCTGGATTAAATCCCTGGCCTACCCCAGTTGCTTCTGCATCTCTTTTCTCATTTTTCCATTCAATGGCTCTCTTGTTTCCTTGTCAGTCTGCTTGCTCTTCATTATATTTTAGGAATTTTTTATTTATCTTTCCTTGCTTGCTATTTTTGCTTTGCCTGCTGCTGCCCTGCTGTTTCTCTGTGACCCAATCTGGCTGTTTACACCCTCTCTCTTACAGATGTCTTCATTGTTCCAGTCTTCCTCTTCTATTTCTATCTCATTGGGAGCCTCTACATTCATGATCTCTGCAGGCGTGGTTTGCTGACCTCTCCCAAAATTTCTCAGTATTTAAGGGATACAGGAAGATGTTATTTTTTCTCCTGTGCTTCTCTGTGGGGCATGGATTGCATCCATCCTAAACCTGTGAGTGAGGAGTCACTTGACCAGCAGTGGGGCCCTGGATTAGTTCACATAGTAATTACATTATACGACATTAGTTCACATCACAAACTGCAGGGTTTGAAAAGCTGATCAGATTTTCTCCATGGTCACTTGCTGGAGCCAGCTGTTACTCACAGCTACCAGTGGTCACCCAAGAAGTGTTGATGAAGGCAACCCCATGTGCCAGGTGACATCTCAGCTGCTGCCAGTGCAGAGCACCTGGGCTGGTTCAGTTCCTGTGCTGTGCTCCCTGGAGCAGCCAGCTCTGTTGTGGGAAGCACAGTCTGGGTGTGTGAGCAAGCCTGGGCTGTGGGAGGACGAGGCACTGACTGGGAGTGAGGCTGTGCTGGAATGTGCCCTTGCCCTCAGGTCTGAGGGGCTGTGATCAGAGGGGCTGTTGGGGAAGGCCCATCCTGGCCCTTTTTCTTCCTGGGGGGAAGGGAGCTGTGGGGCAGCAGGGACTCAGCTGAGAGCTGTTGTTTGTTCACTGCCTGCCTAAAGGGGGGACAGTGGTGTTTAGGCTTTCCAGCTGTGAAAGCACTTTGAAGACTCACTTGAGGAAAAACTGTTGCATTTAGTAGATTATTTTCAGTATTTAGGATTTCCAGTCAATTGATGGTGTCTCTGGGGCTCCCTTTATTTTTTTAGACCCATTCTTGAAGAGCCACAGCTCTGTGGTGGTGAGGAGGGGATGTGCTCACAGGGACATGGCTGCATGGCTTTGGGAGCTCCTTTTCTAGCCTTGGCTCAGGGTCCAAGACCACAATTGCCACATGAGAGAGAAGAAGACAATGCAACCCACAGTGCTAAAGTGTTAAAGAGATGTGTCTGACTGCTGCCAACTTTAACTGGCAGGGACATGGAAGAGAAGAGGGTGATTTTGGAAAAAACTGTCTATTTAATATCTTTTCCTAGACAGGTGTGGCTAGTTTGATATCTGGGTTACTGACTGTTCCCATAGAAGACTCTGGAGGTCTTTTCTGAAATGCTCATATGCCTGTGTGGTTTGCTCTGGACTCTGGGAAGTCCTCAGGGAAGGTGTTTGGGCTGGGTTTGTGCTCTCATTCTCCATGAGAATTTCAGTCATGTTTAGGGGAGTTACAAACTCAGACAAACAGTCTCCCTCCTTCTGCTCACATTCCATAGGACATTTTTGGCACCTGGACAGGTTGCTGAATAAACCCAGGGGCAAGAGGGGTTCCAGGGCCCCGTGGGGGCAGGGACACGACTGAAGTGGCAGCTCCTCTCACCTGATCTGGTGTTTGCACTGTGCCAGGGTGTGGGGTGGGGTGTGTTCAGTGGATGGTGTCCAGTGGGGTGTGTTCATTGTACATGTCCCAGGTTGGGGACACAGCTACAGAATCTCAGGGAGCAGGGTTGGATGGGATATTGGGAAGGAATTGTTTCCTGGGAGGGTGGGGAGGCCCTGGAACAGGGTGCCTAGAGAAGCTGAGGCTGCCTCTGGATCCCTGCAATTGTCCAAGGCCAGGTTGGACATGGCTGGGAGCAGCCTGGGTAGTGGAAGGTGTCTCTGCCCATGGCAGGCGGTGGAACAAGGTGATCTTTAGAGGTGCCTTCCAACCCCAGCCCTTCTGGGATTCTAGTTCTGTGGCTGGAACATGCAGCCTGTTGGAGTGTGGTACCATCCTTCTCTGTGAAGGAAAGAGAAGCTTAGGTACCAGGAGCATCTTCAGAGTAACAATAACTGGCTTGCAGAGCTTGAAGGGGAACTGAGTTTTAGGGTTGTCCATGAAATTCACCTGAGAGTGTGTAGGCACTGGAGCCTTGCTGTGCCTGCTCACTGCTGTTCTTTCTTACAGTGCTCTCTGCCTCTTCAGACCAGCCCAGGGCAGAACTCAGGTTGCTCTGGCAAATGTTAATAGGACACTTGCCTCATTTCACCTCAGCAATGGCCTTTCAATATCAAAATACCAAATGTTAACAGATACAGCAGGTAGTGCTCTCAGTCCATAGTAGTTCTAAGCCCTGAGTCTGGAATCACTTCCCAGAGAAGTTTGGAATTTTGTAGGCAGGCAGGAAGCAGCAGGACAGAAAGAGACTTGCCAGAGGCAACAATGGGTGTCAGTGGAATAAAGTGCAGGTCCCTGGGCTTGCAGCCTACTTAGTGCTGGGCACAACCCTTGGATTGCAGTTCTGTGCCCTGGGAAAGAAACCAGAAAATGCACAATGAAGTGAGCAGGGAAGGATTGCCTAAAAGTTGAAGGTATCTCAAAGTACGGCTGATGTATTAACTTCAGGTATGTCTGGTTAGTGATCTGGGACTTCATGAATGTTCTTTCAGGGGAGAGTTCTGGAGTCT